CAATAATAAGATTTGTAATTGGACATATTGAATTCTTTTAATTAATTCAGTTCTCACTAGAAGGCAAAATACATAAAACTCAAATATCTATATTAAAAATTACGAATATCTTAAACGCTTATTTCCTCGAAAAAATTCAGAAAGAATAAACATGATTTAATTGGCAATAATAAATGAATGCGTTATCTTTGTTGTTGCGAAGCTAAGTTTCTCTAGATTGGCAACAAATCCACTAGTCTCGTTTCACATGTAAACATCAATGGCCGCCATTTAAACAGGCTTAGCGGCAATTAAACAACTTTAAAATTGCTGATAATTCTAAAAATATTGCACACAGATTTACTAAAGGCATAAAATCCTTAACCGGAAGATAAAAACAACATAATTCAATCATTTTTAAAGCAAAAAATGTACAATTTAGAAACATATAAGAGTAAAGAAACTGAGATTACCGAGCCGGGTAATAAAGTGGATATATATATGAATATATTTATATACGTTTGGTGCGGCCGATTGCAACCAAAATACGAGGTGCACATCTACATGTTATAGCAATCCTATATACAAAATTTCAACGTTCCGAGGTTACTCGTTTTTGAGTTATGCGAGATACGTTCGTACAGACGCCACGAAAAATTCTCTTCAGAATTAATTTTAAAGCAGTTTTATAATTTTTTTGAAGGAAAAGAGTATTTTATTCTGTCCTTACGTACAGATATCACGCAAAAACATCCTTAAATTGCATCTGATACCGATCAAAATGGATATTTTCGTTGAAATATGCTGCCTGAAACTTTTCGCGATTACAATACTTCCTTTTTACTTCGTACAAGGAAGTAAAAATTATATTATACGTATAGCAATTTTCAATAGTTTCAAACTGCACCATGTCTGCGACTTCTACAAATGTGGCGGTATCATTGTTTACGTGCTTTACGTGCTTTTTTACGTGTCCCTATGTTCCGCGGAACACAGTTTAAGTAACGCTGATCTAGATGAATGAAATGCAGGTCAAGTTTAACCTTCACTGCCATAAGTCGAGATTAGTTTCATGATGTATGTGTAACACCATTTGCTTTTTAATAATATTAAGGGCTTTTCAGCGAAAAAGTAACAGTGAATACTTGCAATTCGAATTGCTGATATCCTAAAATAAATACATTATGAAAAGAGTATTTAGTCGGACTCGACTGGATTATCAGCTTATGGTAAAACACACTGCGGAAGGATGCTAGAATGGAAGACAATCTAAGGAAAAGTGAAATTTTTTAAAATGTCCTTCACGAAAGTAACTTAAGAAAATAGCTTACGCACATTTTGCTGTAAATAAAAAGTTTCACCAGTCATCAAGCATCAAATTGAAACATCTTATAGTTGTCTTGTTTTTCTTGATGATTAAAGTTTTTAAGAATTTCAGGCAATATATTACGGTAGAACTATAATATGGTTCGTAAATAACAGTAAAACTGATTTTTAAGAATAATTATTTCTATAAATTAAGAATAGAATAATGCCTAACTTGAAAAGTGTGATTTCGTAAATCACATATACACACTAAAAAAAAAATCTGATGTGTACACTACATGACTTTCTAGTAAGGAATATTAAATTATACGCATTTTTTGGTGCATTTCATTTCAACTTATTTCTTCGAATTTCATTAGAGATATATTTTTCATTCAATGAATTCAGTTCTTACTTCGAGGCAAGGCAAAAATACATAAAACTTCAAAATATCTTTATTAAAAACTGAAAAAAAAAAAAAAAAAGAAAAGAAAAGAAAAAAGAAAAACAAAATACAGTTAAAACAATTAGAAAAAACAATTTTTAAAGCTAAAATTAGAGTTTCTACGGAAAAAAAAAAAAAAAAAAAAAAAAAAAAAAAAAAATGGCCAGCGGTCAAGAAGGCAGATTCTTCGGTTCACAAAACTGAAAGTTTACTTTTAATTCCATTCGGCAAAAAGACACTGAAGGTGCAGAAACTGAATTCGCTATTTTGCTAAATTTCAAATGTAAACAAATATGGCTGCCAGAGTAAAAAAAATAAGGCTAAACCGCAATTAAACAACTTTTAAATTATTGATAATTCTACAACTACTGCATGCAGATTAACTAAAGGTATAAAATCCTTAACCAGAAGATAAGAACAACATAATTCAATAATTTTTAAAGCAAAAAATGCACAATTTACCAACGTATAAGGATAATAAAAAAAAGCTGAACTTCTAGAGCCGAGTAACAGCGTGGGTATATATATATATACTTTTGGTGCAGCTGATTGAAACCAAAAAGGGAGGTGCACAATTAAATGTTATAGCAGTTCTATATACAAAATTTCAGAGTACTGAGGCTACATATTTTTGAATTATGCGAGATAGATATATACGTACACGTACGTCAGATTTCGCGATTATAATACTTCCTTTACTTCGTACAAGAAAGTAAAAAGGATTTTTTAATGTTGATTTTCAAGACCTTTATGATTACCTCACAGTTAAATATTACATAGTGAAAAAAAAATATTACATCGAGTAATATTTTATCTACAGGAAGTTTTCAAAGGTCGAAAAATCTCTTTTTGCTAAAGATCTAGTCCTGTATCAATAGCATCAACACTTATAGAAAACTGGATGACGGCGGTTTGACGGTAAAAAGCGATTACAAAGGAGGGAGGGCTTATTTCCTTATACCGGCAAAATCAAGTTGAAGTGGCGGTGCAAAGTGACAATCAATTCTTCTTAAAGATAACGATAGTTCTATTACGTAATTCACGTCTGCTTTCATCTCCATGACACCCATGCTGCCAATACAAGTATTGTTATCTCTTTTGTATAAATTACTGATAAGCCTTTAATAATAAAAGAGCTTTAAGAAATACATCACAAATAGGTAAAACTACGTAGATAATAAATTTATTATCTTAAATTAAGATACTATGACCTTGATTATAAATTCTTCTTCTTTTCTTTATATTACATGTGCTTTTACTACTTTTAATCAATTTACTGCTCATATTTTAGTAACTTCTAAAGCTAAATAACCGTCGAAATAATACATTATTTAATATAAAAATTAATTTCATAGAGAAAGATATTGATAAATTTCGATATTTGGAAACGGCCGTATATATTAGATTAAAAAACAGCAGTTAAATTTTCACTATTAGCTGAGTTCTCTAGTTTCATTAGAATCTGAAACATCGAATAAAAAAATGTAGCTTTTTTACATCTTCATATTTCTGATTTATATAAAATATCTTGAAATATCAAACACAGAAACTGCAAGTTTTAAAATTTCAGGCAACATTTTTAGCAAAGTTCCCAAATTGCAAAAAGCTTTCAAATTTTCACAAGTCTTGATGTACTTCTTGATGTGAACCTAAGTGATACACACTCCGCTTGATTCAACGCTAAAAATGCCTCTATTAGAATAACATAGCATGTACAAATTTTTCGAACTGAATTTATAAGAAGCGATTATACGCGATTAATTTCAGATAGCAAATATATTCGTCTCTGAGCATCATGCAGTTAACTGTCTTCTCTTTGGAGGGGGGGAAAAATCTTTGTCTATAAGCGGAGTTAACAAGATGAACAGATGTTCGCTCGAAGATATAAATGAAAAAATAGTAAAATAATAACTTTCATAATCAGCTTTGATCTGTTTAAAAAACTGCCCTACAATTGTGCGTCACTTCAGTCAAGTCCTTACTACTATTAATTCTTCAGCCTTTGAATCCGGTAATAGCTAATGTCGACTAAAAGTGTTCTGCTTAATTTCCTATTCGTAAAAAGATGATATTTGTGAAATTTATTTATTTTATTTTTTAAGTATTGAGACATCCTAGTAATCTGGAAAACTTACTAAGTCTGAAAGCATTCTGCCCTAGCACTCTGTAGCTACAAATGTACCTAATGCTTCTCAGTTTCTTAAATTCGCCATTCTAGCTAAGATAGTAATCAGGAGAAACTGGTTATGAGGGTCTGGTTACAGCCTAAGCTCATAAAATCTGAGCTTAGAGTACGAGTACCAACTTCTTATCCATTCAAAAAAAAGCAGGAACGATTTTTCAAAACGTATTGCATTGTCAGTGCTGTAGAGAGAACTGCAGGTAATATTATCTACGAAACGAATGATACGATGACGAAAATATTAATTGTGAATTGGAAGACGATGCCATTCACCTGGATTTGAATGTAGCAGAGACAGACTGAAAAATTTGAATCGGATATTCACTCGCATAGGAAAGAGAACTTCTTAATTACATTTAAGAATATTCAAATACTGAGAAACTTGATTAATGTATATTAGGATTAAAAAAAACTAAAAACTAGCTTTTCAGTTAATTTCAATTATTATTAATTAATCGTTTTTGAGATTAAGCTATTCGTAAATTATTTTGAACTAAGGCAGCCTCTAAATTTTAATAGTAAAAAAAAATGCTAAAATTTCACGGCTCATCACGGAAATATGTCGTGTTCCTTCCATATATTTGGATTTCTGACCATAAAAACCCCAAACAGTAAATATTATTAGGTAGAATACAATACACCTGGCTGAATGTCACGTGAATAAGTTAGATACCCTTTCTAACAAGTACTATTTGAAATGAAAAATTTAAATAACACAACGAAGCATTTGCAGTTTTTTATGTAAATCAGAGGAAACTTTAATCAATGAACACCTTAGAGTCAAGTACAAAAAAAAGTTTCATATCTGGGCATTCAGAGGAGTTGAAAAAATATTGCCAGAAACACATTCAAGATCTTTCCACTTTCCTTTCCCAAATAAAATGGAATATTTGAAGGAATCCTCCCCCCCCCAATAACAAGTGTAGAAATAAAACATTTTCTTCCGAAATTAAAATATGTAGATACTGCTAATAAAGTAAGATAATTTAATAATTAACCTGTTTTTTATTTTTAGATGATCTGAATAATTTGTAGCTTTATTTTTTATTAGACATAAGATATTAATACACCCCCATTCTTTTGAAACAGCTGAAGCTTTGGATGAATTTCTAGACGAATTAGAAGACATAGGAGTTCGAGGTGTTAGCTCCACCAACCATACTAAATGGACATTTGGAAACGCTGTTTTCTTCTCAGCCACTTTGCTTACTACTATCGGTTAGTTATATCTCATTCTTGCAATTATTATTTCAAAAACTTTTCATTCTATAAAAAAGTGCTTGTTAGTGAATTGACTAAAGGTTACTAACTTAGTGAGATGTTGTCTTTTATTAATACGCAATAAGCTTAAAAAATGTACTTGCATAATTTCCAAGCGTTTGTTTTTATTGCATCAAGTGTTTAATGAATAGCATTTATTTGAGGAGGATGACCATGAAATGATACAGCAAAGAATTATTTTTGGTAATTTCTATCTCCGGTGGTATCTTCCATTTCCCAAAAGTGAAAGATTTTAATTGTAGAAATCGTAAACTGGAATATATTCCAGTATACCCAGAGGGTGTTTAGACATTTTTAGAATGATTTCGGGCCATTTAATTAATGTTTGAAATGTAAAGTATTTTTTTTTTTTTTAATTTTTGAAATGATAGCCTTTTTTCTGGACTATTAGTCTGCATCATAATTTCCATGGCTTTTCGTAAGATTTCCAGGGGCATTGATTTCTGTTTGTCTATCACTACAGAGTCCATCAATCGTGGTGGCTTTGCGTTTAGAAAGAGCTCTTTACAAAACGTCAAGGGCATAAAAGTCCATATGTGAAACGTCAGCAGACTTCACAGGAATATGTTGAAAAGCTACCTTCATTTTTTTCAAGAAATGCAGTGATATTCGAAGTATGACTTGCTGCTTTGTCTTGATGAAGTTCCGCTCTTTAAAAACCATTGGAGCAAAGAGATTGAATTTTTTTGTAAATATCGCACGTAAAATTTTCTCTTGATAGTACATTAAATTCATTTAAAAATTTTTTCTCACTCTTCTTATTTTTAATTTCCCATTGTAAGAGAATTCTACAGCAGTCATAAAACCTTTACTGAGACTTTCTTTGCATTGATGGAACCAGATTTATACACTTTTTCTCTTAGTTTTTGTTAATACACAGACTTTTTTTGTTGCAGCCACTTAGGTAAACCCATGCTGCATCAAGGTCACAATATATATTCATTTATCTCTCGCTAAACTATTTTCACGCAGGGTTCTACAAACTGTTTTACGTTGAATCACATGCCTCGTCAAAAGCTGGTGAAAATTATGTTTTTTACCTTTTTAAGTTGCAAATCTTGTTTAAAGACTTTGTAAGTTGATTTCTGCGTCCACTATTTTCTCTTGTTGCCAACCATTTAAAATTGGAAACATTACAAATCGTACGTATCTTTTTCGGGTATTGTTCGCGGGTTTTCGTCCCAAGTAGAAGTAGTGACTGGCGGTTTTCCCCTTTCCGATTAATAATACTGTTTATTTTGCATTTTGATATTTTAATATCATGGATTTCACAACGTTTTTGAATTATGGAATAGGAATTGGCAGATAGGCTCTTCGAAAAGAGCAAAACCATATCCTTAAATCCACAACTTGCTTACAAGTGACATTTTGAAAGACGAATAAATATGAAAATAACAGATGATTTCCTCATTTCAAATAATAAAATGTTGCCAAAAATTTGTATTCTTAAACATTTGCTTTTTTTTAATTCTTAATCGAAATCGTTTTAAAAATGTGAAAACATCCGTAGAAAGAGAACTTCTTAATTACATTTAAGAATATTTAAATTCAGAGAAAGTGAACGAAATACGGAATACTTTCGGTATATAATTTTGCATTCGGCTTAAGCTACAAGTTGGAAAAACATACTGAGATCAATTATAACCACTTATTCTATTCTACTAAGATATATGTTTTGCCATATAAGCAGGGCTAGGAGAAACTAATTTTTTTCAAGAGCGGGCGAAACATTAAGTTTTTTTTTTTGTTTTGTTTTTGTTTTTGTTTTTTTTTGTTTTTGTTTTTAATTCTTTATTATCGAAACTGTTCTAAAAATGAGTTAACATCTTCTGTATTTTCCTATAAAACAAAGTAAGAAGCTGGAAAGAACGATCCCATCTAATTTTTAAAAAAAATGAGATTAATTGACCTTTGTTAGCACTATGTTTGTTAGTAATTCCAACCTATAAAATGATTAAATTAAGTTAAAAATGCAAGTTTTTCTTCACAAAGTTTCGTTTCTAGAAGGAATAATTCATCAAGTGTTCTTCAAAAAATATTTATGCTTTGATTTTGAATTCTTTGACCAATTTTATTTTTTAAAATTTATGTTAAATAAATAAAGCAATTAATTACTTTTTTAGGTTACGGCCATCTGTCACCAAAAACTCCTCATGGAAAGGTAGCATGCATGGCATATGTAGGTTTCGGAATCCCTCTGACCCTGTTTGTTTTAGCTTGCTTCGTTGATAGTCTCATGAGACTATCAGAAGCTTATAAGCGCACTCTCTTCAAAAAACTTCAAGGCTTTCTCGAACCAATGACTATACGCTTGATTCATATTTCTTCTATTATGGTAAGTTATAGCAACTCATACAAATGCAATAATAAAATTAATCTCTCAAAGAATAAGCCATCAATCATTTTTAATATTTATATATCTTATACGTTTAATTAAAATCAACTGTATTTCAAACTGTGTCACTTTATAAATTAAAGATACAGTATAAAAGATAATATCACGAATTTAGTACTGCAGTATATCCAACAATTTAGAAAGCATAATTTATGGTTGAATTTATTGTTCATCAAACAGTATTCATATCTAAAGTACAATAAAAGTTATGATGATCCTAATAGTCAGGGCAAAACTATTTTGAATCTTAATTTTATCTTCAACAAATTTTTTTTTAACTGGAATGCACATGTAAAGTGCAATAAAGTTATAAATCTTTATTTTAGATTAATTTTATTTTAGATAGCATTTATTAGATAAATTTATTAAAACTAAAACATCAAAAATAAATATATGGCCATTAATTTAAATTGAAATCTGCCCTTAACATCAGAAGGCAGAAATTAAACCCACCTCATTTTTGTTACTTTTTTTCAATGTAAACTAATATTAAAATTACTATCAAGCACTGCTGCAAATAAAAATAGATTTGAAGATTTATATCATAACACGATCAATAGTACAATGCACAGATTCATCCAGAAAACATAGCCTAAATATAGCTTAAAAATTAAATTGGCTTAGTAACCATTTTGTTAATTAATATCATCATTTAAAAGCAAATTTTCATATTATATAGATGGCTAACAATGCTGATTGAAAATATCACTTCATTCCAAAAAAAAATTATGTACAAATATATCGAAATCTGCTACTCACTTTCTAAACGGCAAATTCCATTCTATCTGTATGTAAAAATCTACTTTGCAACGGCAAATTAAATAACTCCTGAAGAAATTTACTTTGGTTTTAGAAAATCCTTTGCAATGTACTATGCATTTTCTTTACTTTTTGTTATCAATTTTTCTACAGTCGAAATATTCATCCTAACATCTGATTTGTAGGTTACGATGATAAAAGTACAAAAATTATGACATGAGATATAAAAATATTTACATAGTCTTAAAAATCTTCTGAAAAAAGAATTTACCACAAACTAATACAAGAGATTACTTATACTAATTAATAAAAATATGTAAAAACTAAGTAATAAAAATAACCTCTAATTGCTCTTTGTTCCATAGATTCTACCTAACATTTGAACAGAAGTTATATAATCACAGTTAGATCTGCATGCAACAGTAATTTTCTTGATAACAAAACAAGCATTACTTCCTAAATTGCTTAGGTTCTCATTATTAAGCTCACATTTTTTGATTACATGATTGCAAAGATCCTTAACATTTAATAAAATAAAATCATTCCAGCATGATATGAATTATCAAGTACTGTTGAAATGCATTTGAAAAAAAAAAACGTTTCTTGCAAACTTCAAGAACTAAAATTAAAAATATATATATACTATATATACAGTAAGACCCCGCTTAACGCGGGGGATACGTTCCATCGAAGTAGAGCGTAATGCGAAACAGCGCTAAGCGAGGCTATCTTAACATGTAAATAATGGGGTTAGGGGAAGACGGATAAAAAATGGTTAGGCATTAAATTTAATAATGTTTTTTTTTAATAAAAATAAAATCAAACATTTATTTCTTACAAAAATAAAAACAATATAAACGCATATACTTTTAAAAACAAATAAAAATTCTCAGTCAGATCCTTCAGTCTATTCTGGGTTTCCAATTTTCTGCCTTTTTGTCAAGAAGGCATTATGATAGATTGGCTTAATAGCATATTGCGTTCAATTTCGTCGTCAATCCATATAGACAGTCGTTTTTCCATTTCCTCTATAATGTTATTTCTAGAACGGGTAATTCTAGTTGCAGAGCTTGACGTAGTTGCAGTTGCCGATGACAGTATTTTTTCTTTATTCTTAAGAATTGTCCTTATTGTTGAAGTTGCCAAAATCAATGCAGCACTAATTTGAGATTGACGTTCACCAGAATCTAATCTTCTAATCACTTGCATTTGAGTTTCCAGTGAAATGCTTTTTCTGGTTGCTTTCTTTTCTTGTTTTTTATTATCACCCATGATAAAAACTAAAGATCATAATATTTGTCACTGTATTAATCGTTATAGTATTATATAAATTTAAACTTACAATAATGTCAACAAATGTTTCAAATGATAAAAATGCGTCCACAAAGCAAGAAACACAACTACACTGTTTCGGATGTTATTTGGAAACCTAGCGCTGCGCACAATTTCGGAGAATCCCCGGGTTGAAATAAAAGAGCGCTAAACCGAAACAGCGTTAAGCGGGGTCTTACTGTATATATATATATGCATCTTTTTCTTAATAATATCCAGTTATATTTCATTAAAAATAATTAATTTAAATTAAAAAATAATAATAATACATTTTAAATACCATGGACTATTTATATGCTTCACTAATAAATTGATGGTATTTCCTAATCAAAATTAATTTTTATCATATAAAGCTTTCCATCTTGGTGTGCTGTTTCATTGTTCCAGCAATGATCTTTCAACGTTTGGAGTCTGACTGGACCTTTTTAGATGCCATATATTACTGCTTCATCTCTTTAACAACCGTGGGGCTTGGTGACTATGTGCCAGGTGTTGATCCACAAACTCCAAATGTGGATCTCTATCGAATTTGTGCCACAAGTAAGTTAAATAGAATTCAGGAACTTTTACAGTACCTTAATAAATTAATATATTTAAATTACTTGAATTCAGCACTCAAGAAATTACAAAATACTATTTTACACTGAAGAAATAAAAGTGCTATGCATGGAATTACATAATTTTCACTTTCTCTGACTAATGTTTAAAATTTATCGGGGGGGGGGACTAGCATAAAGGACCAAGACGCAAGAGAAACACGCCGACGTGGAAAATAAAACAGGCAAATCAATGGACTAGCATAAAGGGCACTTGAATAAAATTTATCTGTGCCTCCCCCTTTTTTTTTTTTTTTTTTTTTTCATATTAATGATTTTGATGAATCATTAGTATGATTCATCAAAATCATTAGTATATATAACATACGTAGACTATAATTTATAATTATAGCAAAAGGGATATGTAAACATTAGGAAAAAATTATGCTTCTATAGTTTTAAGCTAAAGGGCATTCAAAAGGGAGATTCTTCTTATTCCGGGAAAAAAAGTTACTAGTTACTATACAAAATATGTTAAATCTCAACACTTTCCCCTTCACCATAATTTATTTCTAATGCCCTGCTTTATAAACTAAAAGGTATTTTGTCTCCAACAGAATAAAGAAGCAAATATCAGTTTGAGAAAATGTTAACTTCATTATAAATTAAACATGAGAACATTTTCATTTAGGTATTTTTAATAAAGCAGAACAAAAATGAATTTGATTTCATTTTTGTTTCTTCAGAAAATTTTCAGAAAATCTTCAGAAGATCTTCAAAAGATCTTCAGAAAATTGTCATTAGATCTTCAATATTAGTAGATATTTTTCTCATAAAAAATAATTTTAAGGACATTTGAAAATTTCGTTTCTCTAGTGTTAATGTATTAAATATTCTAAATTATATGTTTGCTTAAAAACTTGTTAAACTGTTCTTTTCCTCCATATAAAAACTGTTTATCCTATAATTTGGGCAGTTATATGCATAAAATGACTTTTCAACTGAATTTAAATATTCTTAAAACCTTCATAACAAACACTGAAATATGCTTTTTTTTTCTCTTCCAGTATTTATCTTTTTTGGAGTTGCTATAATGATGTTTATGATGTCTGTCACTGCTGACTTTTTCCAAAATTACAACAGCTGTTATGTAGAAAACCTGCCATTTACAGTATCTTCAGAGAAAATTCCAATCAATACTGTAGATGTAGAATCGTATGGTTCCATACATGTGCAAAACTCGAAAATCATCACAGAAGATTTAAGAAACAAAATCATCATACCACGTTGAAAGACTCTCTACTTGATATACTCTCAGATAATATGATGTGATGATGTATATATTGAGAGGGGGGATAATCAAAATGGAATATATGATAGTGTTGAAGGGAAAAAAAAAGGTTGCTGCCAATACTGTACTGCTTCAGGGTACAATTTAGCATTATTACTGCAGTGCTGGTATTCTGAAGTAGACAATATAAGATTAGAGCAAAATGTTGCCAGTTTTGCATTGCGTTTACCATAAAATGCCACAGTTTTAAAAACCATCTTTTAATGTTTTTGTAGGAAGAGATTAAAAAAAAATAATGTATTAAACATTTCTAGCTGGTTAATACTTTATAATCTATGTATCAGTTAATACTCAATAAAAGACGTTGTTCTTTTTTTTCTTTTTGTTGGTTTTTTTTTTATGAAGAAAATTATTCTTTTCATACATAAAATACATACATTTTTGTTTCTTTTCCTTCTCTTCCCCACAAAACAATGTTTACTCAAAAATTCTATTGTTAGGCAGGAAGGAAAAAATATTATGTGAATCAAATTTAATTTCTCGCACCAAATGAATTGTACAAAACATTAATTTTAGAGGCTATGACTTGACTACGAATATGTTAAAAATTTAAAAGCTGGATAAAACAATATGTATTTTATTAGTCTTTAAAATGCAATTTTTATTTTCCAGCATTCCTGATTTTTAATGTGTCTTCATTAGATAAACTTCAGATAAATAAAGTCTTTAGAATGAAGGGATTACAAAACTGCCTTATTTAACGTTTGCTATAAATTTAAAAAAACATTACACAGAGCTCAGCTGTGATTAAATATGTTCAGAGTAGCATAATTATAAGTTAACATTTTTTAGCTCCAAAAAGAGGTTAGAAATATATTTTCAATATATCTTCAGGTTCAAAACAAATATTAGTTTAGTTTTATGATTTATCAGATTTATATACAATTAATATATTAATTACTAGGTCTTTTAAGATATCAAGGTCATGTTACTTTAAGAAGTATCATTAAATATTTTGCCTTCAGGGAAAAAAATTGTGAAATAAGTATATTTTTCAGATTATACTTTTAAACGTTTTATACTATTTATTGATGTTTGGAATTAGATTAACAAATTATTAGAATTCGTACCTTAAAAAATCAGTATAATCAACAGAAATTAAAACATTAAAGATTTGTCAAGGTTTCATTGTTGGCGAAATGGGCTAGCTGCATAGCCACACTCCATAGCTGTCTCCTGTATATTAGCATAAATACAGATTTTTTTTTTCCGTCTAAAAATATTTTTCAACTGAACTTTGACTAAAAATTTTGCATTTTAAATAAAAGCTTTAAATAATTATTTAAGTATTAAAAGAACCCATCTATATTATTATTAAAAATACTGATAAAATATACCAAAACTGTAAAATAATTACACAATAACCTTACATTACAAAACATTAAAGAGGGATAGACTTTTTAACAAACGAAAATTAATTCTTGAGAAATTTTCCTTACCGCATAGATTTTCAGCAACAAAAGTTTTATTGTCTATATCAGTGATTCTCAACCGATGGTACGTAAGGGAAAAATAGGTGGTACGCAAAGAAACAAAGTATTTTTTAAATTCAAAAATTAAATACTCCAACACCCTCTTTAAGTTTTTTTCTTCAACACTCGTAAATTTATGCGATCTGAGCTTTGTTCAAGATCAATAGCCGCCCATAGAGCAAAATATTCCGTTTTTATTTTCACAAATATTCTTTTAGCCATAGACATAACAAAATTTATCATAAATGATGTTTTTAAAAGGAGTAATAGAAATAGATATTGTATTTAATAGCCAATAAAAATAATTAACAAGCTAAAAGTATCTCATTAATTTTTTTAGAATTGATCGATTTATTAGCATGTTTACACTTTATGTCGCTACCGCTTTCGATCTCATATTGATCTATTTTCAATTAGAATCCCTTTTTTACATCGATTTCCTGTCTCTAAACAGCAGATATTTTATCTTCTTGTTGATTTATAGTCCTTACATGCGATTTGAGAATATCGTTGTTTGTTTTTGAAGAAGGCGTAATATATTCTGCATTTTAATATTTGTGAAAAAATAATAAAACAAATCTAGATCCAATTAAAGTACGAAACCATCGTTTCTCAAAAGACATCTTGAATCTAAGCATGCCAATTTAAAGGATAAATCTGAATAATATTTTAAAAGGAAATTATCGGAATTCAAAAGTAGATAAACAAATAATGAAAGGTTTTGTTACTTTGTATGGATCCTCCCTTTTATCTATTAACTAAGTGTTGAGGACCCTAGTGAGCAGCCCACGGTAAGTCCAAAAACAGAAACGTAAAACTCAAGAAGGGTTAATTACCCTTTACTGCTCAACGAAAGGTTAACAGATGGTCCCTTTCTCAGGACGTACAACAAAACCTCCACTTGGACTTAAAATAAAAATGTACGAAATAAGAACTTAACTAATGACTAACTAAGGCTATTTAGCCGAAGCTGACACAATTTCTAAACAAGTTGGCCCGTCATATTAAATCAGCTAGCGAAGCTAGCAAGGGCACGTAATATGGCCGAACGTAGTAACAGCTTAGAGGAAGTAGCCGAAAGGAGAACGCACTCTATTCAGGAAATCTAATTCTCTCTCTCGAAATCAGTGGAACTTCTACTTAAATACTACTTCTTCTCATATGCATTTAACGCGATTCTAAAAACTCATTCTGGTAAGGAATTGTAAGCTGAAATTAGAACAGATAGGAAAGTGTGACAAATTCAAATAATTGTTATAAACTTAGGATATACCTTACAACTTCAAGTGAAAAACATTTGGAAGCTAGTTACCTGGTAAGCCTAAGAATTACCAAAACTGGGCAGGCTCACATTATTGAAGAGAACCTTATATTACCAGCAGCTAAAAATATTGTTTTTATTCAACGGAAAAGAGGAAAATGAACTTAATAATATTCCGTTATCAAATGATACAGTAAGTCGACGACTTCATGAAATCGCAAATTCCATAAAAGAGACATTATTAAAAACATAAAACACAGTGAATATTTCGCATTGCAGTTGGATGAAAGTACTGATATAACGAACTTTGTCTAATTATTAGTTTACATGCGTTTCGAAGAAGATAAACGAGTAGGCGAGGTCTTTATTTTGTGAATCTCTTCACGATAGAGCAACAGCAAATGCAATTTTCAAAGAACTAGACAAGTTTATGTCTGAGAATAATATTCCTTGGAATATGTGCATTGCCATATCCAGTGACGGAGCTCGGTTTGAACAGGTACACATTCCGGTGTTATTTCTCAAATAAAGAAAGTCTCAACTGAATCTAAATTTACTCACTGCTCCATTCATCATGAAGCTTTAAATAGCCATAACAATCCCCGAAAACCTGAAAATCGTTTTGCATCAAACTGTGAAAATTGTTAATTTTATTAAAAGCCGAGCTTTAAATTCAAGAAAGTTTACGATTTTATGCCAAGAGATGGGGTGTGACCATGAAACGCTTTTGTTACATTCCGAAGTAAGATGGTTATACAGAGGCAAAGTTTCAAATCGTCTTTTTGAACTTCGATCAGAAATTCAAATTTTCCTTTATGATTCAAAATTTGAATTGTAAAAATGTTTATTTAGTGAATTATGGTTGGCGGGTTTAGCATACTTAGCTAATACTTTTGGAAAGTTAAATGAATTAAATTTAGGATTACGAGGACAAAGTGTTAATTTCTTGCCATTACCAAATGAAGAAACCAAAATTAGAGTTTAAGTATATGAAGTAAGTACCAAATGTTTATGTCACCAATGACTATTGTGTACGAAAATATAAGCGTATATACGCTTTTGTCTATATGTAATTGTGTATGTCCTTGTTTATATGTAATTGTACCCATGTATCTTCTAGTGTTATCACATATCTTGGCACTGTATAGTTAATATACATCTATTACGCACTGAATAATGATGTACCTAATGTGTCTGTATATATGTATATGAATTTATGTTCTGTATATATGATAATGTAACTATGCATCTGCACATTTTAATCCTGTAACAACGGCACCGTATCGCAAAGAACTAACTAGAGCCCCACTCTAAAATTAATTGCAACCAAAGACACTGTACTACACAGTACTAATCTAGGGTCTAACTTTTAATTCACTGTACTAATTACTTATTCCAGCATAACATTGCGCACCTAATATTTCAGTATGTACACGTCTTCTGTAATCTAATGATAATGCTTCAAAGGGTCATAGTGTACTCAACATATGAGTACACACGTTATGTATATATGCTACCGCATCCATGCTTTTGCATACACGTTGTAACATGGCAATGTATTATCCAGTGTCTAACATTAATTAGCTTTAACGCCACTGCATGAAGTACCAAATTTGTATGTATGTTTATATATTAGTATATTAGCACAATGAACACGTATGGTTACCTAGATAAAGGTGGACGTGGCGCTATACCGATTAACCGTCTTGGTAGAGGGGTGGTGCCCACGTCCTCCGTCGCATGTCGCATTACCAAATGAAAGAAATGATAAAAAACTCGAAATAATAATCAAAGAATTGGATAATAATACTTTAAGCTTTTTACCACTTTTAGAAAGTTTCTAACAAAACATAATTTAAAAACAAAAGAAGAAATACCATCCGACATTAAAAATCATTATTTTTCATTGATAACTAATTTCAACGTGTATTTTCCCGAGGATTATGAAAAAGAAAATTGGACTAGAAATCCATTTTGTTCAAATGTACCGGAAATTTTTTCTCGTGAAGAAAAAGAACAATTCATAGAAATTTCCTGTGCTCGAACTCCAACTGCAGATTTCAAAAATAACATGCTAGTTAACTTTTGGCTGAACCGAAAAAAAATAATTTAAAGGCATTTCAAATAAAGCTATTAAATTTGTATTGCCTTTTTGCACAACCTATTTGTGTGATCAAGGATTTTTTTCAATTTTATATTTGAAAAATAAATACAGAACAAAATTTAAAATGGATCCTAATTTACGTTTAACTAAAACTAAGTGAAATAAGACGAGACATAAAGGAATTTATCTCTCTTAAACAGGCCCAAACTTTGCACTAATTTAATTTTAGAATTAAAGTATTATATCTTAAATTTTGATAATTAAACATGGTAACCAATTTTCAATCTAAATATTTTATGTGTGCACATGTAATACAAACAAACAGCCAATAAATTGCGCAAATATATATATATATATATATATAATATATTGCCATTTTGCATATATACATTTTCTGGCATTTTTGGCTCAAAGAAACTGCAAAGTGACTACAAGAGATTTGGCTTTAGACCTTCAGGTTGCCACAGGAACTCAAATTAG